GTGTGCCGCTTGGGAAGCGCGGCGGCGCTCCCGCCCGAGGGTTAGGATCCCACATACGGACCGGTTCCCACTCACTGGCTGAGCAAGACGCGGGGAGTGTGCCGCTTGGGAAGCGCGGCGGCGCTCCCGCCCGAGGGTTAGGATCCCACATACGGACTGGTTCCCGCTCACTGGCTGAGCAAGACACGGGGGCAACACTGAGGGTTGCGATCCGTTGCCAGACACAGAAAAAGACAAAAAAGACAAAAAATAAAATAAAATAAAAAAATAAAAGCCAAGTAATGACCAAGCCACCACTGGAAGCCCCCTCCACCCCCCCGTGGGAATGTGGGGGGTGCCACAGGCTTCAATCACCCCCTCCTCCTTCCTCCTTCTTCCATCCCATTTCCTTCCCCTTTCCTCTCTCCCCCTCCGTCCGCAACAGCATCCTACACTGTAAAAAAATGATATTAATAAAATCACATTTTCTTTCAAAAAAATTAAAATAAATAAATATATAAATAAATAAATAAGTAATAATAAAAAAAAATCCAAGGCTGGGCTGGCCAGTTCCCCGCTTGGTTGGAATGTGGTGCTGTACTGGGGAGCCGCAAAAAAAAAGAAGGCTGAGCCTAAAATTAAAATGCCAGGGCAGATGGAAGGTTAATGCCAATTTCAAGAATTGTTGACAAGTTTTGGTATTTGTTTGTTTAATCAAAATGATCAACGAGATTCTGCCATGATCCCAGCCCTGAGTAAATGAAAGAATATTTAGCTTGATTCAGTCTCACACCTTACCCCTAACAGGCTCAGGCCAGCAGAGCCCCTCCTAGAAGCAGGCTGGGTCCTAATTACACAACTGGAGCAGTGTGCAAACAGTTAACTGCCCTTCTCTGCAGTAAAAGCCCCTTGGTGACCCACATAAGGACATCCTTTGCAGCTTAGATGAGCTTTCACTGCTGTTTCAAGGGCTGCTGAATGCAAGATGGACATCTCTGTGGATATACTTCAGGCAGGAAAACTCATTTATTAGCACTGTGAACCAAACAGGTGTGAGATAAGGAAGCCTACTAAAGTGGACCCTATGGTATAATGGGAAGTTGAGGTTTTGGCTCTTTGGACTAACATTTGTCTCTGACCCCCTGTTAGTGCATCTTTACCCTTATCAAAATTCTATCAACCCATGTAGTTGTTCCAATTCTAGTTGCCTACCTATCCACAGCCCTAGCTTCCAATCTGGAAAGAGTAGTTGCTTCTGGGGGCAATGGAAGGCATTTTAAAGGAATGGTTTGGAAAAGAAATCTCCAGGGCACTTACATAGTCGTCCAAAAGCTGCTTAGACAAAGACTGTAATTCCACGATTATTTTCTGTACTTCACTTGGTTGTAATGGAGGAATGGGTGACAAATGGGAGGACAACCAGGTTCCCATGCAGCAGAGCAGGAACAGGGCCGATGTGGGTCCTGCAGAAAAAGAATGATGCTGTGAGGTGCACGGATCAGACCCCTTGCCCATCACAGCCTCAACCTCAGAAGCCCTTGTTGAGCAGCTGCTGGGTGGAATCCCTCCAGCGCTGGGTGAGATGAGACTATGCCCCAGACACAGTGAGCACCAGGACCCAGGTACCTGCGTGAGAGCCCATGGCGAGAGAGAGCAAGGCCCGCTTTGGCAACAGCTTCTGGAGCCAGATGTGTTTGCGATAGCCGCCAGAGGTATATAAAGGCCAGTGCGAGGAAGAAGAACCATCAGTGTCCCGCCCATGGCAAAGCATTGCTCAGCTTTTCTCCACAAAACACTTTCAAGATTCTGCCAAAGTCTGGGTGAGAGCAGGGCTGGAAGGAAACGTTGAGGTTACCCTCAAGGCAGGCAGATACTTGACTCAGTGAAGACGCACACACACTCCACAGGAAAGCACACACATCTTTGCCATTTCTTCTTGGAAAGAGCCTATTGATTTGACTAAAAGAAAATTTTTGTGTTTTTTTGTGGCTAGCTGGTACAGGGATCGAACTGTGGACCTTGGTGTTATCAGCACCACGTTTTGACTAGAAGAAATTTTGAAGTCCAGGGTTGACAAGCACAACCACCAAGGAACAGGTGACTTACAGGAGCTGAGGGTCAATGCCCCACAGGGAGTTTCTGGGGAGGCCTCACTGAGTGTGCGTAGGTGCAAAGGTGGCATGAGATTTGCATATGTGTTATCTTTGGAAATTTCTGAAGCAGCCATGCCATTGTCCGGGGATGGCCCCCAATAACCACGGGGAATGTGGTGGGTCAAAGGCTTCATCTCTGCTCTGCTTGGCCTTGAACATGAGTGGACTCTTGACTGTGCCCTTGCAACCCTGGGGCCTAGAACCAGAATCTGTGCTTGGAAGGTATTTGTTGAAACCACTTATTCATATTTTAAGTGCCAGCTTTGATCAAGCCTCTTCTAGGTTCTTGAGAATGGAGGCAAACAAGTTAGACAAAGTCCCTGCCCTCAAGGACTTGGCATTCCAGTGGGCAAGGGGCAGACAATGGACAACACTAAAAACAAGAAAGTACAAGCAATAAAAAGAGCTATAAAAATCAAACAAGGTGATGGGTTAGATAATAAGTCAGGTGGTCAGAAAAAGTCTCCCTGAAAATGTGATATTTAAGCCAAGACCCAAAAGATTAGAAGGGGCTGGCCAGGAGAAGATTTGGGGAAAGAGTCTTCTAAGCAGAGGGGACACTAGCGCAAAAGTCCCCAGGCAAAAATGAGCTTGATGCTCTTCCAGGAACAGGAAGGAGGTCATGGTAGGTGGAATGAGTAAGAGAAGGGAAGGGGGTCGGGAAGGTGGGCAGACATCAGATCGCAGAGAGTCTTGAGGCTATGGCGAGGATCTTTCCATTAGGTAGGGAAATGTAGGATCCGGCATACTTTGAAAAGAGGGAAAGAAATAGGATGCTGAGTGGAGAATGGAAGTAGGAATCTAAGATAGAAGCAGGGGGACCAGTCAGAAGTTTATGCAACTGCCCAGGGGAGAGATAGTGGTGGCCTGGACCAAGGTGCGGTGGACGGACACGGAGGCTACAGCGGTGGCTGATGAGTGCATGCGGAGATGAGTCAAGGATGGCTTCTGGGATTTAGATGAAGCCACTGGGTGGATGACGTGCAGTAAGGAAGGGGAAGACCGGAGAGGGGAAATCAAGTGTCCTGTCTGGAATGAGTCAAGTTCAAGATGGCAATGAGCATCTATTCAATGTCAGATCAGCCCTTGGATAGGAGTCCAGAGCTCAGCGATGAGGTCAGGTCAGGTCTGGGTGGCCCATAGAACCCAAGATGTACAACAGAAGGGACACAGCCAGGAACCCCCTTCCACCCTGAACCCTAAGTGTCCCTCCAGCCACTGCTGTCTTTTTCTTCTTATCCAAGCTTCTTTTTTTTTTTTTCCTTTTTGTCTTTTTTCGTGACCGGTAATGGGATCGCAACCCTCGGTGTCGCGCCCATACTGCGACCGTCAATGGGATCGCAACCCTCAGTGTCACGCCCGCACTGCACTCAACCAGTGAGCGGACCGGTCTCTATATGGGATCCGAACCCTTGGCGGGAGCGCCGCCGCGCTCCCAAGCACTGCACTCTACTGAGTGCGCCACCGGGCCAGCCCTTATCCAAGCTTCTTGATAGAGTGGTCTACACTCACTTTTTCCTCATTTTCCAAACCACCACAATATGGCTTCCGCCCCAACAAGTTAATCACACTCCTCTTGTGAAGTTGTGGTAGGCATGACTTTTATCTGCTGGTGTTTACTCCCATAA